GAAAAATGAAACAAAATGAAACACTATTTTACAAACCAATAATTTACCAAAAACACTTACCCATCCTATAAGTCTGAATCTGAAAATGAAGACAGAGGGAAACTCACAGATAGAAGCGTCTCCCGCTTGGCAGCAGCTCACTAATTTGTTTGAACATTGTGAATTTAAAGCGATGTACGAGCCAAGAGTCAGATGAAGTGTTCTGATAGGTGAAAGCTGTAAATAACTTGCTGATTTTGAGTTACTTTTTTCTCCTTGTTAATTTTCTTTTGCAATAATTTCACATCTTTTCAACTGGGGCTCAATGAAGCTTGGGAAAGGAACAATTTAGATCAGATCCCAGTGTTGACAAATCAAACGACAACAAAACAATTTCTGATCATTTCCGATGGAGCTGAATGGAGAAGGCCCTCATCAGCAGCTTACTCCTCAGGATAAACAAACACCCTTTCTAACACCCCTTCGTAGAAATGCAAACCCTCATAAACAATTAATGCACATTTTTGTGCAGCTGGAAGACAAAATATGGGAATGTTATTTTATTTTACTCAACCGCACTCTTAAATATTTTTTTAGGAAAACACAAAGAAAATGCAGTGTTCAGTCACAGCCTGAAGAAAAGGGGGTTAACAAACAGTATTTGCAGCCCTAAAGGCACTTATACGCACGCGCGCACACACACACACTCTGCACATCGCCTCCCTGAACCCCATAATCCAACCCGCCACCACCCCTCCATTTTAATGCTTGCCTTGAAGTCAAGGGTATTGCTGTGGAAGGCTGCAGAAGCCTTGTGGGCCTGTCCACACAGCCGGGTTACACTGAATGTGATTTAACCAGCAGCACAGTTTGCAGCTTACTCCCTATCCCACATGACAGGACGCTACTGAGAGTCAAATCTCCAGGCGACTCATTTTATTTATGTGCTTATACCTGACCTGAGAGGACAGGTTTTTTTTGTTTTGTTTTGTTTTGTTTTTCTTGTTTTGTTTTGCTTTTTAATTCTGAATGTGGAAAAAAAAAAAAACAAGAGCAAGACGAAGATGGTGATAGATTTTCACACAGATCACTCAAAGGGCTAATGTGTGTGTTTGCTGCAGATGTTGGATAAATTCTGTGGCCGTGGTGAGTGCAGGTGTTGTGCTCAGTGCTCTTTCCTGTTCAGTTGGGGCTTCTTGTCTACAATATCTGCCCACTTGTCTGCCTGGCTCTCTTCACGCCGGCGCAGCAGACAAACAGGAGTGCCGCTCTGCATTTGCTGATGTCTGTACCAGAACACACTGTTCCAGAATGCCTCAAATGCTTTTTTTTTTTCTTTGTTGTTTTCCTTCTTTTTGATGTTTTTCTTCAGATGTTCAAATAGGACATTTCCTTTATTAAAATAAAGAAAGAAAATACTCCCCGATTTTTTTTTTCTTGCCTTTGTTGCTCCAGAATGCATGTTTAATTGAGTAAGAGGATAGAGTAACTTGCTTATTTGCTTAAGCTGTACGATAAATCCAAATAAGTTTAAGTCTCTGTGGTGCTAAGGAGAAAACACTGGTGAATCAGGGCAGTGGGTCAGAGATCCTGCCTCAGTCACTTAATGGGGGATTAGCATCAGCGTGCTACTGCTTCAGCTCTAAACTGTTATGAACATACAAGTAAGTTCGTCAAGAGATGCTAAAATTTGAATTTGATATATGTGGATGTTTAAATGTCAAAATTCACTGTTGGTGTTGCTGAATTTTCATAAAATAATAAATAAATTAATCAAGAGCTTTTGTTTCCAATAGGAGCTTTTACCCAGGGAAAATTACCAAAGGGCCTCTGTGTTCCTAATTTCTCTGTTAAGGACTACATGTACGTGATGCATGAAAAAGAAAGTTAAAATAACAAATGTGACACATTTTTCCATAGTTCACCCCCTCAGCAGTGTTAGGAGAATTAAAATTTGTTTTCTTCTCAACTAAAGGTGACATTCACAGCCTGCGACGGCAAACAAGCTCAAAAGATGGAAGACGAGAAAGATCTGAATGAGGGTTCAAGGGATTGACTGAAGGATCCGTGGCATTAGAGCGTGCCATCTGACATTTTCAGAGAAATTAAGCATCAGCGTAATGTAGCTCAGCAAACAGGATTTCATGAGAAGATGAACTGCATAAATTTGGAGCAATAAATGAAGCAACGCAAATAAAAGAGGCTATGTTTGTTTGCATGAGACTGTAAAACTAATGCTATCAGGCATGGAGTCACACAGCCGAATTAACATTTCCTGGGGGTGATGTGTTGTGTGTACAGTATATACAGTCTCCCCCCACCAGTGCACACATGCATCAAGCATATAACTTCTCTCAGTATAAGAGTGTGTTTGACAGCAAACAGGTGTTGACATCAACATCAACCAGCTGACCTTACAGCAAGCAGATGTCATTTACTGAGAATAATTAACTAATAATAGGATACTCTGAATGTCTATTTCCAGTGATTATTGTCTTATTTTGTCACCTTCCTAAAATAATAGGCTATGTTCTTTTTTGTTTTGTTTTTTTGCCAAAAATGATTTTGGCAAAAAAAAAAAAATCACCTCTTTTTGAATTATGATGGCAAAAAAAATCATTTTGGTAAAAAAAAAATGACTAAACCCATTATTTAATGGAGATGACGATTTGTGGAATGACCCATGGCTGAAGCTTCAATGTTGACTAATGTTTGATTATGTCAGCTAATCTAATGTTAAAGAGCATAATTAGATAAATGACATGTTCTGATGCCCTTTGGTCACACCTGATTTTAACATGACATTCACTAAGGTGCAAACTAAGTCCTGAATCTCAAATGTTTTGCGTTGTTTGGTTGTTGTTTTTTTTAGGCCTCCAAAAAAGAAATGCTAAATGTGCTGGAGTCCATCACAGGAGTTAGCCCTGAAAGCACCTTCCCTGCAGTGAAACATTGTGGCGGCAGCATTATGCTGTCGGGATGGTTTTCTTCATTGGGGTTAGGGTTGGTGAGAAGACAAATGAGGCTAAAAACAGGGCTATTCTTGTTTTTAGCCAGTTACAAAAGACCAAAGGCTGGTGCAGGATAATAACTTTGAAAATACAGCCAGCGCCAGGAAAGGAATCTAATCACATTCACCTGTTAGAATGGTCCAGTCAAAGTCAAGACCTAAATACAAGAGAGAATCTTAGGTGAGACTTGAAAATATGTTTGCAGATGTTTCCCATCAGTTTCTCCTGAGCTTGAACTATTTTACAAAGTTAAATGGACATTTTCCACATTTTGAGGCAAAAGGTTGTTAGAGACTTAAAAAATAAAAAACAACACTGCAATCCTTGGGTTAGTACTGTAAAAACCTTTTACCTATAAATCAGCTCCTATAGTAATGCACGGATTGGAGTTGGTTTTTACATAAAATCCTAATGAAATAAATTGAGGTATGTGGTTCCATATGTGACAGAACATGAACGAAATTTGAGTGATAGGAAAAAAAATTTGTAGCACTGTACTTTTTGCAGTGTTGGTTTGAAAATTGTATTTAACAGACATTGGAGTTTGTTGCAGATAAAATGTTTATTTGGGAGGAACATCTTGCTAGAAAACAGGTGCTCATGTTTATCTCTTCCAACAGTCGAACAGCTGTACAACTGATGCGAAAGACAATACGTTAATTTTCACTCTGAAGGCAACAGCCATGACCTTGTGGCCAATAAGCTAAGTTATTCAGCCGTGAACCCTAACCCAATTATACTCAGGCACAGCTGAGAAGGTATAGACAATGTCGTATCTCTAAAAAAACAAGATGCAGTCAAAGGACCCAGCATGTGGTAAAATGGTAAGCAGTTCCTTTCAGCTCCCTGCCCCACCCCACTCCTGCTATGATGCCTAAACAGTGGTAAGAGATTGTGACAATGGGGCCCTGGGCTGCTGCAGACAGTACTGGCCTTGCTGTGTGGCCATGTGTGTCTGCAATGTGTGCGTGTGCTAACAGAAGACAAAAGAGCACATATGAGGCACTTCATGAGCCGAGGACATGAATCTGAATGCCAGCATTGAATCTGTTGGTACACTTTGTTTTAATTCCCACTTTTACTCTGAATGATGAAATTAGAACAAAGGTTGCCGTTGTGTTTTTACAAGTTCCTCTTGTATTGTTTATCTACTCATTACATGCTGAAGGAGAACAGCATGTTCTTATTCAATTTTTTATTGAATAAGAAAAAAGTGAGCAAGCTGCTGAAATGTGGGCAAATCAAACATGCTTTGATTTACTTGCATAAGGGATGCCGTTGTCCAGTCCTCATTATCCTTCAACTTTTAGATGCATCCCTTCTCTAAAACACCTGAATCATATGAATGCTCTTTATCGGGCCTCTCCAAAGCTAAACCACTGCGCTGATGAAGTCATTCAGTTGACATTGACGTGTTGCAGAATCGATGTATCTAAAAGTTGCAAGACACCATAGCACCGCAAAGAAACTATTCATCCTCAGGGAGAACATTGAAACTCCACATACCCTCCCCGGGAGGTAAATAACCCAAGTGCAGCACCAATATCTACCCAAGTTCTGTTACAGGGAGCAACTTAAATGTTAGTGTGTGAAATCCGGGGCACTTACGCTGCTTCTGTAGGATTTTAGATGTGAATTTGCAGTCGGGTGCTGCTGAATAAATGAAATTGACTAACTGATCATCTGCAAGTTAGCGCCTCTGTTTAAGCAGGATGTCTGAAAGTTGCTGGTTTGGAGCAATTAAAAGTATGTTAACACAATGCCGGAGAGAAAAGAAATCAGTAATGATCTTTAAAAAGCCATTCTTGCTGCTCGTCGATATGCCATGAAGTCTAATCCTTTTGTCTTCTTTACCATTGGAGACCTCTCAATATATGTCAATTTTTTAAAGGAGTTCCCCCAAAGGCCAGATAATGACTAGACAATCTTAAAATTCACAGTACACAATTTCATGTTAATAACAAACATCAGTTGATTAAGTAAAATACATTTAAAACATTCACTTAAGTATAAATGAAATGGATGTTTTATTTAGAAACATTAATTTAATTGACACACAAATATAGACTTGAGTGATTTGATGTTCATTATGATGTTGACCTGTCTTTTACAGCTATAACCGCTTCAGCTCTTCTGGGAAGGCTTTCCATAAGGTCCAAGATTATGTTTTATTGGTAAGGAAAGACACTGTTGTTAGACTAGGAGAGCTGGCTCACATTTTCCACCTTCGTTCGTCTGCATGTGATCTATCAGTTGGAGGTTACGGCTGTGCAGAAGAGTCAATCTCTTCCAGATCAGTCATCCGTTTTTGTGCTGTGGTGCACATATTGGAAGAGGTGTTGGCAAAAGCTTTTCTCACAAAGCTGGAAGCAGGATTGTCCAATATTTCCATTCTGAAAAACATAACCATAAACTTTAATCTAGGCAAAATGCCATCAGGCAAGCAAATCCCAAACTCAGACTCATACATTGGATTGTTATATAGACAAGCATGAGTTTTCATTGTGGATAGTCTGTCTGCACTGTTCTGGAGTCTACAGGTTGTGGTCTTTGTACTTGGTGCCAGATCAAGTTTGGTAATCTGTAGCTGCCGACTCTGCAGAAACTTGTTGACCTGACCCCACTCTGTCATTTTACATGACCTAAACTTTGTGGATGACTCGCTATTGTTCCTAATCCCTTCCGCTATGTGTTAATACCACAAACAGCTGACTGGAAAATCTAGTCGCAAGGAAATTTTATCCATTGGACTTTTTACACAGGTGTCATCCTATGATGGTACTGCACTGAAATTAAAAGAGCTCATGAAAGCAACTTTCACAAGTCTTTCACAAAATGTCTGCATGCCTTATACATTTATAGCCATCGATGTGATTGGAACACCTTCTTTCAATGACCTGGTTCATTCTTTTCCTTTGTTCGCTTTTGTCCGATCACATTAAATCATTGGTTTTGTTAAGATTATACACTGCCCAGTTTCCTTTGTTCTCTACCAAACTGTTAACTTGACATTATCTTGTCTTACCAGCTAAGTGTATAGCTGGTAAGACAATATTTATGTACAGTTGTGACATGCACAGATATTTTTATTTCTATCATCCATGTTTGTTAGTTCTTTCCAAGTCTACCAACCAGTTCATGTGAGTATGCCTATTCAAGTAACTTTGACTTAACATACCAGTTAATCTTTTGCAGACTTGTTATAGGCTACTAAAGTGGGCCATCAGGTTTAAAACTATACTGATGCAAACTAATTTTAACATTTTAAATAATTAATTATAGACGTTCTTAAAACAAGGTAATTACATCAGAGAGTACTCTGATGGGTCAGTTTTGCTGTTTCCCAAGTCAAGATAAAGGATGTGGGCTGGAATTATTTTAAAAAGGGGCAAAAGCAAGAAAGATTGATAATATTAACTATATTTTGTTCCAAACATACTTAGGGAGTTATCTGCACATTTTTTGTTCTCCCGTAGCAACATACCTCTGTCCAACAGCTTCCATCCGTATGGATTATTAAGCAAATTATGATTTGGTATTGTAGGGGCTTGTCAAAAATCCAATTTCTACTTTCCTAAGGATTCGCCAACACGATTGCTACTTCAACAAAATACTGTCCCTGGCCTGAAGAACTATTTTGTAGGGGGCGCACAAGAAAATTGTTCATTACCAGGCAACGTGAACAAATAAACTGTATTCCACTGCTGCAGAGAATTAATAATGGTATTACACTGAAACTTTGCTCACTGATCTGCTGTGATATTTCGCAAAGGTAAAACACATTTGACTTCGGCAGTCATTAACTTGTAGTATCAGCTGAGCAAAGTGCAGCTCTTCTGTCATTGTTGATTGAGTGGAACATAAACCAAAAAGGCTGGTATTTCTTATAAAAATCTGTAATCTGTAATTTGTCCCAATGATGAAGGACATTCTCCTTCAGCTGTGGATTCTTCCATCCTGTATCGTCTTCCCAGTATGTCACTGCCTCCCCACACCTGCTTGTGCACACATACATCCGTTCCTCCTTGTATGTCCCACTGGTCGACTCTTATTTTACCGGCGTGTGTGCTGGCGGGTGGGTTAATCCCTAAGGATGGGGCCACTTGTTTTGACAACTCCTGTGAAGACCAGTGTCTCTCACAACAAAACACAGACTGGCCAATCACCAGTAAAATGTCGGCCCTCGGCTCACTCTTCCGCCACCCAGAGGAGGATCAGGTTGCCTTTACAATATGCGGCCCATTAACTCAGAATAGAAACATCCTAAGCACAGCTATGATGATCCCCTTTGTTTGCTAAGACAATGACATTGATAAAAGACAAGCCACACTCGTGGCTCCTGATACAAGTGAGTGTAAGGTTACAAGTTGCCCAGTCTAGAGTGATGGGTCCCCTAAACAGACTTCTGTGTGGTATAGCTTTACACTGCACAGTCCCCTAGGGATGAAAAGACACCTGCAGGTCAATCAGCATTAGGACACATGCACGCTCTTTAAATTACAACCAAGAGGGCCGCCAACTGCGTCAAGTCAATCAGGTATTTTGAAGTCATCATGCCACAGGTACGCCTGACAAAATACTGAAAATGAGATGAATGTGTTCTGATGTCCATGTAAAGAGAATATAGAGGGGTTCTTAGTGTGGTTACATTGGCTGGTAAAATAAAAAAGATCAAGTGTGTATTCTGGAAAAAGAATCAAGCAGCTGTGGCTGCACTGTTATGCTATATATACCTGTATGGTAGAGCTTTTCACAAGATATTACATTATTATAAAAATTAAGAAAATGTATTTAGCTTACATATATTGTTTTATGATAAAAAAAAAAAATAAGTTAAATCATTTTGTGGAGTGAGACAAGAGTCAGGGGGGGAATTTAACTCAGGTGAATTTAAGTACCCTGGGCCTAGAAAGTCCCTTTGTGTGGTTTTATCAGTAGAACTACAGATAAAAATAAAATACAGAATAGTAATGTGTAAATTACGTCATAAACCTAGAAGTTAAATCAAAAATAGTTGAAACTAATAAAATCATAGTAGCATTTGAGTGGCAGAGCTTAGAAATAAATTCAGGATCACCTTATTATGAAATATAAAAACTTGTTATGAGATTTATATCCCATTAAAAACTAAATATCTTATCTTAGGGCAGATTTTGGTTTTATTATTACAATATATATAAAACGCTTCTGATTAAAATAAAAAATGAACAAGAAATGTTGTGTTAGCGAGATAAAACTCATCTTGTTATGAGAAACTGTTTTTTTTTTAACTATTAATTCATTCATGAAATACACACATACACATATATATAGCAGTGCTTGTAACACAGCTGCTTCAAAAACATATACAGCAGACTACCAGAAATAGTCATTGGTCTAACTATTCCTCCTGCAGACTAAAACCACTTAGGCCTTCTTTTTCAGTGTTGGAATTGAACCATCTCAGACAAACGTCCTTAGTCTCTCTTCCGTTGTCGCTTTCAGTGCCATTTTGGTCTCGAGGCAAATTCACCCTTGAGCTCATGCTGTCCCCTTCATCATGCAACAGTCCAGTCTTTCAAAACCCCTTTGGTAGACATAAATATATTAGCCAAATCAATGTTGAAGACGTAGTGTTCAAAGCGTATTAAAAAAGTAGAGACTTTTATTCCAGAAATTACAGTAATTCCAAATGGTAATCTGTTAAATTACCTGAAAATATGAGCACTTTAGAGGCAAATTGACCAGCAGGATTGTAAAGATAACAGATAAACTGATGATTGAAGCTCCTTTCTCATTTAAAAAGACATTTTATGAACACAAACTTGGATTGCATGGTGGCGCACTTGCTAGCTCTGTTGCATTGTAGGAAGAAGGTTTTGTTCAAGCCCTGTGACCCTACATAAATAAGAGGTTCGACAATAGGTGAAACGGCTAAAGATAGAAACTCACCTTTGTCCTGGTAAAAACTGGAAATCTACAAAGAACATTTTAATCTGTTTCATGTGTCTTTAGAATTAGCCAAGTAATGGTATATAGATGAATATGAACAAAGATCATCACAAATGGCAGGACTTCAGTTTGTCCAGTACTTTGTTGACAATGTCAAATTGTAGGAAACCACAGCCATAATTTGTCAGGCATTGGACAAATTGGATGCAATGAATGTAATCTGAATACAAATTCAAAAGCAACCCTTTTTTTATATATAACTTGATGTGAATCTCCATTCACACAAAATGCTGGTTTTAAATTTAAAAAAAAGTGTAGCACTTTTCAAAAGAAAAGCAAATGAGTGATGATCTAAATTCCCCCGAAAACCTTTCAAGAGAGCTGAAGTCATCACTATTTTATAAGGAATTTAAACTAAAATGGCTTGAGACATTGTGGAGTGTAATTGCAGATAATCTTAAAATAATTCTGTTAAATCACCATGAACAGAAATGACAGAACATAAAAGGTGTAGTGCCAGGAATTGGTTTAAACATATCTTGCTTTTATAGTAGTCTTGCACTATATTTCATACATTATAGTTTCCAATTTAATACAGCAATGTGCCACTGGAAAACCAAGAAAAACTCACCAGAGCAGAAAATACCAAATTCTGAAAGAATAGGGATTATTGTTTTTTGCAAAATATACTAACTGAAGTTGTGAAGAAACAATCGCATGCTTTAAATAGCAGTTCAAATAGCATCTGAATTCAAACTTTGTGTTTGAAGTCAGCTTGCGTACAGAGTAAATTCGAGCCGTTTTGGAGGCTGGGGAAAACTCGCAGCTGATTAACCTACCAGGCTTTATCGGCTTTTCACACACTTTTGTTATTGGTTTCGACCAATAAGATGAACATTGAAAGAAACACATGGCTACTTAACATTACCACCACAACGCAGTATTGCATTTTTTTTGTCCTTTGTTTTAGCCTATCTTCAAAGATGCTCTATATATGAACTGCTAACACAAATCAGTCTGAAAGATTAAATTTCCGGTCTGAGGAATGGACCACAGACTTTGCAATTCAGTAACCTTTCCCATCTCCCACAGTTCCTGCAGCTAACACCCCAGCCTACTAGAGCAACCCAAGCCAGTTTCCCATTGGTTAGCCCCAAGGCACAGAGGAGCATATCTGTAGCCAACCTTGACGTGCTAAACTAGGACGCTGAAGGGGACAGAAATGGGAGGAGAAGAGTGCAGGGGAGTGAGAGCGTATGGAGGAGGGAGAGAGTTTGGGGGGGGTGGAACCAAAAAAACGTAATGAAAAGCTGCTGAAGGTGTGGCAGGAATAAGGAAGTGAGGCTGACGGAGGAGGGGGGTTAAAGGAAAACGGGAAAGGGGGAGAGGTCGGGGGAATCTGAGTGAAGATGGAAAATAGAAGTACAGGGAGGGAGAGAATGGGGTGGATTTTGGTCATTTG